AAATAATTGGCTGATTTTTTGGCAATGAGGTGATTTTTCCTAACATTGAAAAGATAAAATCAGAACTCCTACCTTTTTTTTCCCCTTCAATTCATTTCCCAAAAATATTCCTTTAATTCGTTTTTCAGTGGCTGCAAAAATTAATCTTTTAATTAAGATAAAATATATTCTTTTTTTTTTTAACTCTTAATCAGTAGTAGATGCAAGAAAATTATAATCTTTGCTATATCAATATACAACAGTGAAGAACTGTATTCAAATATATCAAACCCTTATTTTTAAATACATAATTATTTATTATCCTTTTTAGCCCTAATCACTCACCCATTTGTGATATTATTGTTAATGAAAATATTCATATTCAGGCCATATATATACCTGATGAATGATGCCTAGCCAAAGCTGAATTTGGAAGAAAGAAAGAATATACTTGGATGTTCTACTAATGAATTAGGAAGATAGTGAAAATGAAAACCGCCAAGTAACTTCAAGAAAATGCTACTCAGAAATATTTAAAGATATATGTAGTTTTAAAAATATTTAAAAACATATTTAATTGATGATCCTTTTGTGAACAACAGCAAATTATTATTTTGAAAATGTAAGGAGCAATTTTTTCACCTTGCTCCTTTTTCAAAATACTTCTAATGGTGCTGTAATTCTTTGGTTCCATGGTAGACCTAATGTAAATTAGCTTCATATTAACTATTTTTATATAGGAGCAGTTCTATATATCACTTAACAAATGAGACATTATAAAACTGTTAATTATGATTAGAGTTGCCTTCCAAAACTCATGAGTTTAGAACTATTCGAAATCTAAACCCTTCTAAACCAGTTTAGAAAATGGGCCTGAATTCCTAAACTGTTTGAAACTCCTAAACTGTTTTCAAAACTCCTAAACTGTTTTCAAAACTCCTAAACTGTTTCGAAACTCCTAAACTGTTTTTGAAACTCCTAAACTATTTTCGAAACTCCAAAAAATTCCAAACAAAACAAATAAATCTTTATTTTTTTATTTTTTCTTAATAAAAAAAATCAACCAAAATACTACTATTATCATTATTAATAAAATTTTTTTAAAAAATAATAATTTTTACATATTTGATGGAGGTGAAATTTCAGGAATTGCATCAAAATCAAATACTTCTTCAGAACTTTCTTCCATATTCTCATCTTCTACCTCAATATTATCATTTAAATCATCATAATCCTCATTAAATATTGGATTATTTAAATCAACCATCTCATTAATAATTAAAACATAAACATCTTCATTTGGTATTTCTAATCCTTCTTCACCTTCACTATCATCTTCACTATCACCTTCATCATAGTCTTCATCATTATCATCAAAAAATCCACTTCCTTGGACTAGAGATATTAGTTCTTCTTCAGATCTTTCTTTAGATTCATAATTCAACTCATTTTTAATATTTGAATATAAATAATATCTAATTTTTGCCATATCTTCAATCATAGACAAACTAAGACATAGCCGTCTTTTTCCATACAGAATCCTAGTGCAGAAAATGCTCTCTCACAAGCAGTGATTGAGAAAATTTTAATTGCTAAACTCTTTACATATTCATTTGAATCATCAATAACTTGCCACCAAGTTCTTGGTCTTGTGTAAGAAGAAGAATATTGGATAGAAAAAACACCTTCTGAACATTTAAAGTTTGCCATTTGACCTATTAATTCTGCTACTTTATTATTAGAGTGATTTTTTTTATTCATATTCCAAAAGATTTCTCCTGCATATTTAGTTAAATTTGGCCAAATAGTTGATTTTAAACCAACTCCTAAACAAAAATAAGATGTCAATAATTTATATATATATTAAATTCTTTTATAATAAAAAAAAATGTTAAATGCTTACCATGGTATAATGGGTGAAGAAAATATGCAAGCAAATATGGATGTATTTCAAAAGATTCCCATCTATTATTGATGACTTTAATACAATGGTTCCTAAATTCAATTAATCCATGTTCAGGTGAAATTTTGTTGATATTTACTGCAAGTTTTACAAGTTGGATGAAACAATCTGCAAGGTTAACATTTGTTCCTTCCAAATTGAGAATTGCTTTTTGTAATGGCAACAATACAGAAGTTACCAGCCCAACATCATGAAAAAAACCTCTTAGACCAAGAATATGTTTCACCTTATCATTTGTAAGTAAATCTTTATGTCTTTCATAAATCTTTATTTAAATTGAAAATTTTGTTATCATATATTATAATCTTACAAATGACAAAATAAAAAATAAATAAGAAAGTAATTAATATTTAAACCTTTTCCAATGGTTGTTTGAGTTGGAGAACAGGGTTAGTGGTCTCAAACATTGAAGTCCATCTAGTTGGTGTGTACAAACAAAGTCCACCACCTTTAATACCATATTCATCAATATATTTTCTTAATAATGCTCCAACTCTGTGGGAAGTTTTAAAAAAATGGCTAATTTTGTTACATTGTTTAACAACTTTATATGGAAAGGAGTGCTCTAATTGTAATGTTTTTTAAAATATAGATTATTAAACCATAAATAATATTAAAAAAGCCTAAATTTTAAAAATCATACTCATAATATCTTTTGTTATCAAATTCACACAGTGTGCTATACAATTGGTATTCAAAATGAAAGGATATATTTCTGAAATTTGTTTTCTTGCACTAAGAATTGCTGAAGCATTGTCACTCATTACAGCTGCAAATTTGTTTGGCCCAATTCTGGATAAAACATGTTCAATTTCATCTCTTAAAATTTTTGCAGTATTACTAACATCAGATAAATCACGTAATGAATAGATATTCTTTGTTATCTGCTGTGGTGATCATAAAATTATAAATGGAATAACCTTTAGGGTTGCTCCAACCATCAATGCCAATTTTTTAAATTGGAAATAAGAACAAAGAATATTATATTAATTTTAATAAAATAAAAACATTCATACCCAATGTCAAGTTGTTAGCCTTTTCTAAAATATTATTAATTTTTATATCCACACAAACAGCTTCATCTGATAATAATTTAGTACTAAGACAATCTCGTGAAGGAGGTTTATAATTTGATCTGAGATTTTTTAACATGTTGATGAAAAAAGGGGTTTCAATTATTCTAAAGGGGATACCACAAACCACAAAAGCCATTAAAATTGAACGATCTATAATTCCTGCATGTTCTTTTGATAATGTCTCATCTTTATCCCAAAAATTAGAAAGTGATTGTGTATTTGCTTTATATGCTGTATTCTCTAAAGATTCACTTACACCATCTCTTTCTGCAACAATATACATATATCTTTTTTTGATCTCTTCTTCAATGTATTCACATTCATGTGCCAAATGGACTTGCAGTTTATTAAAAGCTCCATTACTCCATTTACAATTACATGCTTTGCATTTGGCTCCAAAATGTCCTGGATGTTTTGAGGGATAACATTCGAAATGTTGCCAAACTGCATTTTTTGGTCGTCCACCAAGTTTTTTTGAATTTGATAAACTATTTATATCTACATCAGTATTGTTTGATATTATTGTGATTAAAAAAATTTATATATTTTTAAGAAAAATTATATTAGAACAAATAAGAAAATTATAATATATTTTTAAACTAAACCAATGATTTAATAATTAATTAATTGTCAGAACAATAATATCAAAATAAAATGAACTTTGATAAAAACTTTAGTCACGAAGAGAAAATAAGAGAAAATGAATGATTTCAATAATCATGGTTACACATCATATGTCATAAAATCAGTTTAGGAGTTTTGGGTTAGTTTCGAAAATAGTTTAGGGTTTCTAAGCTAGTTTAGAAAAGAGGTTAGAGTTTAGAAAGGCAACTCTAGTTGAGATGATAAAAAAGTCCAATCCAGCTGGATTAAATAAAGCTCAATGTTATAAAGGTGAAAAGGTTTTCAATACTTAGATATTAAAGCAATTTTGGGAATTTATTTTAAGAAATTACCAAGCATCCAGAAATATCAACATTTTCTTTTTGAAGCAACTAATCTTGGTACAGTGAAAGTTCAAGAAGTTGCTAATGGACCTTTTGCTGAATTCAATTTATTGAAAACCAAGAAAGCAGATATTTTGGAAGAAATTAGAGCTTTATCCATTTTAGTATTAACACCACCACCTTTGGATTACAAAAGGCAAGAATATCTTTATCATAATATTTGCCCATTTGTGAAAGATGAATACAAAGATATTGCTTGTCCAAGGCCATTCTATACTGGTGACAAATAAAATATTCAGAATAAAATCACTTCCATGACTTTGTCACTCATTAATTTGTCCCTTACTTTACTATGTTTAATCTTTTAACAAATATTGCTAGCTTTTAGTAAAAAAAAATACTAAAATAATTATAAACTTAATATACCCTCTAAAAAGATATAAGTATTATTATAAGAAAATCATGGTAAACATAATAACAGAACAACAAGAAAAAAACCAAAAACTATTAAACAAAATTGAAACATTAAGAAAGCAATTAGCTGATAAAGAAGAAAACTTTAAACTAAGAACTTTAAATGCAGTTAACAATGTTATGGAAAGTGAAAGACCAGAAATTGCTGGCACTTTAATGACCTTAAAACAACATTTTTGAGCTTGAGATTAGTGTTCCATGTCGCAATCCAAAAAAGGAAACAAAATGGTTGTAAATGTGTTGCAACCAGTGGTTGCAATCGTTTTTATATGATGCAAAGATGGTAGCAACCATCATCAAAAGTTGCAGCCGGTATCCTTACTTGAGATGAGTGGGTAAATATTCAAAAAGAAAATGGAGTTGAGAAAGTTATTTTTGGTAATGAATTCACTATTGAAAACATTGTTAAAGGATTTAGTGAATGAACATTAGCTACTTCAGATTCTTTTAGATTTACTTATGATAAAAATAAAGAACTTGAAGAAAAGAATGCTATTCTAGAAAAAAGTGTTGCTGAGTTAGAGATAACCAAACAAGAGTTAGAAGAAGCATTAGAATTAGAGGAGGAAACATCTGATTGTCATTTAGAAGCTCTTGAGGTGGCTAAACAATGGAGAATAAGACAAAGCAAAGAAAAGGATGATAACTTAGAAAAAGCTTTGAAACAAATAGAGCTGTTAGAAAATGTTGTTTCATGGCAGAATTATTTAGCAAATAAACAATTTCAAGAACTGCCAACTTTACCAAGAAAAGTAAACAAATTTAAACTCTTAACTAACAAAGTAAAGAACAGAGTTAAGCAAGCAAAAGAAATATCTAGGGAAAAATTCAACACTTATATCTTACAAAAGAGCAAATAGTATGAAATTAGAATATCAAGCTAACAAGTTAAGGAGAGGAGATAAATGGCATTGTAATTTCTGTCCTTTTGAAAGTGAAAGGAGTTTGACTGCTACTTACAAAATAGTATCTTACAATACAAGCAATAATGATTACAATGACATTGCTTATATTTGTGTTGAGTG